CTCTCTCTCTCTCTCTCTCTCTCTCTCTCTCTCTCTCTCTCTCTCTCTCTCCCCCATCATCGCCACCACCTCCTATGTAGTCTCTTATTGCCACTGTCTCCTAAGTAGTCTCCCAGCGCTACCACCTTTTGTTACCCATCAACAAGAAAATCTCTAGGGTGACTCTCACTACTCTCTTCCTCTTTCCTCATTTTTGTTCACGCCTCCATTTTCTCTTCACTCTGCCCTCTTCATCAAAAGACCCTAAAAGTTTGGACTTTGGGGCAAATTGGTGTGGGTTTCTTTAATTTATATATAGGTGTTTGGGAGTGAATGGTAGGAAGCTTGGTTGTTGGGGCTAAATAGGTGGCGTTGTTAGAGCTTTGATGTATTTAGAGATCACTGATTATTGTGTGTTGCTAATATTGAATTTTTTGACAAATTGTTACAAGTTATTCCATAGTGCAGGATAATCACTTGTTGGTTAGAAATATAAATTTTTAATTTGTAGTATAGCTTTCTATTTTCTTTCACTATTTAGCTTTAATATGCTAATATATAACTGGAATTAGTATGTCTGCTAAATAAGCCTTTGACTATTAATGTTAGGTGTTGTGTGTTAAATATTGAGTGTTAAACATATTCGCAGACAGTTAATTATTCTCTTATTCTTCAACCACAACCTAACAAAAAACATCTAATGCATGCTATGAATTGTGAATCTCTCTTAAATGAGCTGTAACTTGCAAGACAATACAAAAGGACAAAAAACGCAATATTTAAGAAAAAATATTTAAATTCTAGTATTTCATCAACCAATCGCCTATAACCATATCTGTAAAATCACCCTCCCATTAGATGTTAAGTTTAACATTAGTTGTCAAGGTTACTCATTGGTTATCAAATTTACCCATTGGCTATTAAGTTTACACCTTCGTTGTTAAGTTTACCAATTAGCTATTAAATTTAGAGTAGAACCATTAGAGGGTTATTTGTTGGTTCTTAAGATATATAATATTGGTTGTCAATGTCAAAGATTGATTATTAAACATATGTATTGACTGTTAGATATGTAATGATTGTTAAACATATTTGAATGATTCTATAAGCTGGTTTTGCGCATCTTTAAGCAAAAAAAGACAAATAGTACAACCCAAAATTGCATATATATATATATATATAATGGCAATGAAATCAAGTTGTTTGCTTCACTCTAAAGATTGCTTCAGCGAGACATGCTCTCTGCAACCTCAAAATCCCACTACAATTCGCCACTGCAATCCCAACCCCTAGCCTATTTGATAAAATTCTCAACCCAAACATTAACTATCATTACCTTATTTAATCTTAGTTGTCAATTTTATTGGACAACTATTACTTAAACTCTTAAATTGTTAAAATGTTGACTTTGTTCGTTTGACTGTTTGTTTGATTTTTAGTTAACCTATACAATCACCTCTTCAAGTTTCCAAACTACCATTCATACTAAATTTGATCCAACTTGATATTTTAAGAAACAACAAATAACTCCCTAAATTAGTCCACTTATATAAGCTTGTATGTTAAGTATAAGCATTTCGGTTATTGAAAGATTGGTATTATTAGAGCTAATATGGCCCTACATGAAACATTTTAGTTAATAATAGTTAAATATACTCTAAAATTTATTACTTTTAATAGTTACAGTATAACCTTAACAAGCACATCATAGATTTAAAGAGTTATTTTAACAAATAGATGAAACTTAATAGCTAATGAGTGAACTTAACAGCTAATGGTTAAACTTAACAACCAGTGAATAAACTTAACAACCAATAGGTAAACTTAACATTCAAAGTTCAAAATTAACATTCATTATATGATCTTAATGGTTATGCTATAAATTTAACATACAATGAATAAAGTTAATGTTAAACAAGTAAGACTACAACTAAACTTTCATAGTTCACGATCAACCCATATAATTATTAGTTTGTGTAATTTTGATACTTGCATATACACATTATGGATTGCTAGATGGACTATAGCCTTCTACCAATGAAAAAATTTAGTAGTTCATAGCCCGACACCGTAAAAAATTACAATAAAAAAGAGTGAAAAGGGATAGCAAGTATAATAGCTTTACAATGCAAGTTTAAGAAAACTAACTACTAGAAACCAACTAAAGCACTTCTTGATCACAACAAAACTCCACATTACCAATCTAAAAATCTTGTTACGAAGACTTGGATCCCTAAACTTCTCCCTGGGAACTACCTTTCAAGGAACACTTGAACTTTAAGAGTAGTGCTCAATCATTTTGCCACATTTTCCTCAGTGTCCCTTGTTCGTAATTATCATATTTGACAAAGAAATATAGCAAAATAACTTTTTAGTAAGAGAGACAGTTATGATTCAAGTAAAGAGCAAATTGAGCAAAACCAATACCACTTCCTTTACAATTTTGATGCTTGTTTATGAGATAACTAGCGAGCATTTTGAGGTTTGGAGAGGAGAGGAGGAGGAGGGGGGGAGGAGGAAAAGAAGTTAAGATTTTAGGAAGGGGAGAGGGAGGTGATGGGGGATACGATGGTGGTTGAGAGACAAAGGAGATAAGGACTCAGCTTGAACTAGTTGAGGAAGCGCTCGAGGTCAGTGATGATGGAGGGGGAGGTGATAGGATCAGTGGAGAAGATGATGAGGGAGAGGAGGAGGAGGAGGATGGTTAGAGTTATGAGGGTAGAGCAGGAGGGGAAGGAAGAGGGGTAGCTTTAGTGGTGAAACCGGCGTTAGAGGTGAGGGGGAGGATTTAGGGAGAGGGTTGACTTAGGAGCGGGAAGAGAGAGGAGAGCCATGGCTATGGACTTCATTAAAGAGGGGGGTAGGTGGGTGGGGGTGAGGGAGAAGATTATGATGGGTAATTTTAAAACTCTTTAGGTTATTTTTCCAATGACAGTGTAAAAGAGGGCTGAATCACAAAAGCTCATTGTATTTTGGGCTTTCACATAGGGAAATTAATACCGGGGGTGGGAGGGCACATATAGTTCTCTATTTTGGTCTTTGACATAAGTTTTTCTAAAAACTTTTCAGTGGAAAAAGTAAAATAGAGAATACTATATAGCAAAAACCGATGACTAATGCCTCAAAACAAACTAATAAGGATGTACAAAATTTGAGAAATGGAGAATTTTCTTCTTTCATTTTGGATTTGATCGATATAGATGTGAATGTACAAGGGCAAATCAACAAAAGTCCATATTTACACACATGTTACCATCTCATTCAAATCTATATGTTAGCACTTTTTATGTTACCCTTCTTATTAAAATTTAGTTTTTTTTTCCTATATTAGTCCCGCAATTGTGAAATTTTAAAACTAGTTCCCCAATATCTTTAAGTGCTTTGAAATTATTCTTTCAAATCTTCTAAATGTTCTAAAAGTAGTCCTTTAATTTAGCAATTGGTTCAAAAAATTTAGGGAACAAATTTTGAAAAACTTAAGCTGGTTTTCAAAATATGAAGATT